AAAGCCATTAATTCACTGTAAAAACAAAATTGTTATTATCTCCTATCCTAAGCTTGTGCCATTATTTCACCCTTTATCATAAAATAAATGAAATTGGGTTAATTATATGATTTTCCTGTTTCTGGATTGAATAAACATGTGTAGTAAGTTATAAAAGCAATAGGATTTTAATACATTTCATTTGTCACCATTGAACCCTCTTGCTTTGTACTTGGAAGTTACAATATATAAGCTTTCATTAGCTGTTAAATATTCCCACCCTTATATTACAAGAACAGGATTCCCAGGCCACCTGGCCAAAGGCTTTCTTCTTCTACTTCTTCTTCTTTTTTTTTTTGTGGAACCGGGGATTGAACTCAGGCCCTTGCGCTTGCCAGGGAAGCACTTAGTCCACTGAGCCATCTCCCCAGCCCTAGAGGCTTTCTTCTTGAGGAAGCGTCAAGTAGGAGGCATTCTTGCCTTATTGCAAGCTGGCCAGTAGACAAGTTGCTCAGGCCCTCTGAGCTTCCTCCTACCGAAGGACAGGATGGTGCCTGCTCCCTGCTGGCTGCCGGAGATTATCAGACAGCTCAGTTCCATTATGTGCATAAAAATGTTTATTGGTAGAAGGCCCTCATGGCTATAAGTTACTTTTTCTTTTTCATTTAGTTGTCTTAGACATGGAATTTCATCCTGGGAAAAAGAAATTGTGCAAAATGATTTCCTTTATAGCAGATAACTTTCAGTACGGATAATATCAACTTCCTCTTCAATTTTTAGCCATTACATATATGACATATATTACCATATTTGAAATGGAGTGAGTCTGTGTCTTTATGTCTTTTCTACCTAAGCACACACATTTGAGCCAGCCCCTTATGAAGCTGGGCCTGGGATGTGTAGCCATGGCTCCTCCTCGCCCAGATGGCTGCTCATTGCCAACACCATGCCCATAGCACCCGCAGGAAGGAAAATCCTCTCCCTCACATCTGCCTCATGGAAAGTGGAGTTGCAGGGATAAAGTCTAATCTATCACCCAGACCCATCCCCATGTCACCTTTCACTGGCCTTTTCCAGTTCTAGGTCAAAACTATAAAAGCAGAATCAATGTAAATTGTAATTGCTTTCAATTTTGGAATCTTGCAGCATTATGTCCATTAAAAAAAAAAATTCCTCAGGTTCTTTCCTCTTGTCCAAAAAAAGTTATTTCATTATAGAGTTGTTGGCAAATTTAATGGATGAATGAATAATGCCGTAAGTATATAATATAGCTGTTCTAATTAGTGAGGAAAACACCCTCCTCTTGCTGTTACAAATCAGAATTTACTTTTTTTCTTTAACTATTATCTATGTTTTATTTCCCACCATTGTCAATATTTTACCTGTATTTCTACATAAGCCACCCTTGTCCATTTTTTTTTAATTTTAGTTGAGAATAAGAATAAAATTTCAAGAAATGGTAGTAGAACAAAATAAGCACTGAGCTAAAAGTTGTGAGAAGCTGCTTATCCCATTTACCCATTCTTTTAAATCAAATGAACAAGACGTAAACTATTTTAATTTCATCTCCTGTGTGTCAGGCTCCATAATGCCTCGGAAAACAATGAAAGAGCCTGATTGACAATCGCTTCGGGAAAGTTGCCTGTGGAGCTCTCAGGACGGGAAATGAAAAACCCCACAGCACACACCCCAGGACATTCCACACAACGTGCAGAATAAACACGCTCCGCAAGGAAGCCAAGAGCTTCTGGTGCTGAACCGAAGGGTACCATAAATGGCCCTTTACTTCAGCTGACATGATGGTATGCTGGGAAAGGCTTTCCACAGAGAGAAGTTCATCACGGTGAAAAAGAATCCTTTTCGTCTCTGTCTAAAAAAAGCTTGTTGAATATTTTCAATTTAGGTAAATTCTATTACCTACATTAACATTATTCGAAAGAAATAACACATGACAGACTTTTGCTTCTGAAACTTTAATAGGAATAAAATTTCTCCTGGGGTCTTGTCATAATCCTGATCTTGATTCAAAATACGTGGGTAGGGCTCAGAATTCTGTGTCTGCCACCAGCTCCTGGATGACGCAGATGCTTCTGGCCTATGGCCTTGGCTGGTGCCGTCACCTTCTTCAACACAATACTCTGCGGTGGTGTTCTGGTCTTTATCTGTTCATCAGTTATTTTTGGTTGCAGGCAGTTTTTGCCTGAGAGGAATCTGGCATTGTCTGGAGCCATTATTTGATCATTGAAAGATATGTGTCTCTACTGACACCACATGGCTGCTGGCCAGGGATGTCACTGCACACTCAACAGGAGATACCCGCCACATAGGGGACTTTCTGACCCATTGTCAGTGGTGGCAAAGAAACCCTGACATTGAAGTACTATTTTCTGTGTTTCTCTGATCAAAAATTATGTGTTAAAATTGTTTAAAACTTAGTAAGTAAAACCTGTAAGTGAAGGATAAATCATGTACCATTTAGCTTGGAGCAGAGTATGCAGTATTTTTAAAAAAATCTTCAAGCTGGGGCTGGGGAGATGGCTCAGTAGGATAAGCGCTTGACTGGCAAATGCAAGGATCTGAGTTCAATCCCCTGTTCCGCAAAAAAAAAAAAAAAAAAAAAAAGAAAGAAAAGAAAAGAAAAGAAGATCTTCAAGCTATGAAAACCTATTATGCAGAAGATGGTAGCCAGCTGTTCTCTACTATCCTTGAAGAATGAACAGGAAATGCACATAAAAGGAGCTGTGCTGTCCACCCTCTCTTTTCTCGGCTTCCTTCACACTAGCCAGGCAAAGCTCCTCTCCTCATAACCATATTTGTCTCATCTCATGTCTTGTACTCGGGCAGACCCTCCCAAATCCTGGGGACACGTTTTCTTCTCACCACCAAGTTACACATCTCCCTCCTGTTAAAAAATGAATTGGAAACTTTAATGTCATGAAGTCTTCGTATCTAAGATGGAACAGCCGCAGGCTCCCCTCCGCGTGCACCTGGCACCAGGGCCCCTTCCCTGCGGTGTCTTTCCATCTCCGAGGGGGCCACTGTCTGTCTGCAAGCACGGAGCTGTGCTCAATTTTAGTAAGGGATAAGGAGATGAGTAAGACAGAATTTTCCAATCTAGGCAAAAAAATAAAAATAAAAATAAAAAAATAAAACCTAACAGATAGCTCAGTATGGATAGCATCAAATAATTATCTCTAATGAGAAATTTCTTTAAAAGATAAAGTGGTTTTAGTAGTTAGAAATGAGATTGTTTCTAAGTAGGAGAGATCAAAGAAGATTTTATATAGTCTACAAAATGTAAGTTATCTTTTAAGGCTTGTTTCTTTGAAGAATACATTCTTCCCAAGCTAAGCTAAAATCTTGTATGTCAAATGAGCTTTTATTATTGTTACCACAATTTGGATGTTATGCCCAGGGATAGGCTGGGTTGAGACTCCTTTTATGGAAAAGTTTGTAAGAATAAGGGTTTTATGATTGCAGTGATTAAATCTACTCACTATTAGACTAGAAAAGAAATTATCCAGAGTCCCTGTGGGTGATACCTGGTTTTGATAAAGGAAACTGAGTTTAATAACCTGTGAATACACCTTCAATGGTGTTGCAGGAAGAATTTGGGGAGAATTCTTCATTATGTCAGGGCAGAGTGCATATTGTGGAGCTTTGAATATACATTTTCTAACATATA